GTCCCCGACAAGACATTCATTTCGCCAGTGCTTTGTCTAGGTCCCCCAGCTAGGTGCCCTTTTACCCTGTTTTGGGGGAAGGTTTCCCTAAAATAGACAGAACAAAATCAGGTACCCTTTTTCTAGCCTCTCTACTGAAGGACCTAGTTGTGGTCCATGTTCATCTGCAGAGGAGTACCCTCCCGGCCAACATGGGTTTGTGCACAGACCCCTGCAAGACGACTTTCCTCTTGGAAAGGGTCTTTTGCACTTCCATGTTAGTTGAGGCACAATCAAAACCCGGGTAAGTGAAGGTTAGCAAGGGGCAGTCCCAGCCAGAAATAGTTGCGGCCGCCTTCTTGATTCTTTACGTGGTTCTGGGTTCACCATTTTAATACCGGGCTTTGATGGTGGCTCAGTTGGTGGGAGGGTATCTAGAAATCGACCGCAGGCACAGTCTGGTGGCTGGCCGCACCGCGGACTTGCGATGCGTCCTCCGCTCCTTGAGCGTCCACCGCCCGGAGATCGGCTACGCGCAGGGTATGCGCCTGGCCGATCCAAGCTGATTCACCGAAAGCCCAAGTTTGTGTTTCATTGCTTGATTTGTGTTCGCTCTTGGGTGCTTGGTTGATTGATTAGTTTGCGTGCTTGTTTGCTTGCTTGCTTGCTTGCTTTTGGCTGGTTGGTTGGTTGGTTGGTTGGTTGGTTGGTTGGTTGGTTGGTTGGTTGGTTGGTTGGTTGGTTTGTTGGTTGGCTGGTTGTCGAATTCGGTCAAGTTTGGAGAAAAGCTTGGGTCGACAGAGCATCGGAAGCTGTTTGGTGTTTGTTTTGAGTTGCCTTGATCATGACATCGATTAGGCTTCCTGATGGCGTGTGGTTCTTTGCAAGGACTGAAATCCAAAATGACACTTTCCATTTTGCATGGGTCCGATTTCTTTGTGGGGAGTATAGTCTCAAGGGCATACCACGGCACACAACAGCCATTGAGTGAGACCATGTATCAGGTGCCTTGAAGTTCTCCGTCTCGACATCTTTCAGTGGAACATTCCCTTCGGAATCACAGACAAGCCGGGCGGGTGGAAGGAATCAGCTGGCCGCGGTGTTTCTGAAGCTCGGCTTTGACAACGATATGACCTTCTCCATGATGGACGCTCTCATGCAGGAGGGCTGCACGTTTCGCCGTCCGATTCCATGGGTCGCTTGCGACGGGCCCCTCCCAAATGCTCGGCTTCTTTGAAGAAAACAATTCGGACGGAGCCCAACTCGACCTGACAGGCCATCATTTCAGATGGCTTGGAATTGAGCTGGTGGTACTTGAACGAGGGTGGGACAAAAACACTGTTGGCTGGGGCCTTTGCTGTTGTAGGGCATGCGTGCACAAGTGGGAAAATTTGATCATTTGCTGATGTGCGCTCTCAGTGGAAAGAAGCTCTTCCAATTAAAGTGCTCAAGGTGATGGCGTATCTTTGCCTGTTGCACGTTCGAAGGAAAGTCGATGTGACTGACTGGTCAATATTTCTCTCTTCAGTGGCACCAACAAAGCCAAGGGAAGTAGGTAAGATTTACTTTCGATCTTCCCCTAGACCCTCCACCACCTCCCAGGTCAGCCCCCAAACAACAAAACCCTGATTAATCATTTGAGGTTGTAGGGAGGTTGGGAGTTTTAGCAAGCATAAATCAGTTTAGCAACCAAACAATCGCCTTCAAACAAGACAAACACACAAATAGCACCTGTTATACCAATTTTGGATTATTTTGGTCTATGCCCAAAAAGGAGAACCCCAAAAATATTGGTTTCTTATTCGTTTCCCTTTTGGTTTCCCCTTAAACCAAAAAGGGTACCCTCCAAAAAATCAGCCACACCCATGTACGCAACACATGTGGGTGTGTCTTTTTTATGGATACCCCCAAACGGTGGGTGCTCCTCTTGGTTTCCCACAAACACACACACACATACACACACACACACAAAAAAAAAACAAAAAAAAACAGGAGGTCCCCTAAAAAGAGACACAGCCTAATACTTTATTTTGTGTATTTCAAGGGATTTCCTAAGATAAGTTTTAGAACAATACTTTTGTTGGACTCAGCCAAGAAGGCCGTTGGGACAGGACTTGGTTCCTGGATGCCATGATCCTGACCTGCACGGCCTCTTCCGAGACACCGGCGTGGCCGCCAGGCACCCCAGAAACCCCGGATGCTGAGGAATCGGGTCCTGGGTGATGGCTTCTGAGGGGCATTTGGGTACGGGTGAAAATGAAACCACCAGGAATTGTACCACAGGTTTTAGTCATTGCTTCCATGTACCAGGGTGCCATTTTGGGTACCTATTCTTGACCCACAGCCATTTGAATATAAAAGGGGCTTCCATGGGGCCTGCGTTTTTTTCGCTTGACATTGACATTTGCACGGTTCTGTTGGGATGAAGTTATCATGCAATGTCCAGTTTGTTAGATTCAATGTGGCTTTCCTGATCCTATGTGGACGAAGGGGCACAGGTTTTGGCAGTCTGCAGGCCTCAGGTCTTTCGCGGGTGTTTTTCACTTTTGTTTGCAAATCTGCAAACAACTGACCATAGCGATACGAGAATTATTGAGTAGGATATGGTTCTCCAGAGACGCCTTCATGGCATACACTTGGAAACAGTGCAGCTTCCCCCAAAGAATGTTGGAGTTTCTGGTTCTCAAGAGCGCCTTCATGGAATAAACTTGGAAACAGTGCAGCTTCCCCCAAAGAATGTTGGAGTTTCTGGTTCTCAAGAGACGCCTTCATGGAATAAACTTGGAAACAGTGCAGCTTCCCCCAAAGAATGTTGGAGTTTCTGGTTCTCAAGAGACGCCTTCATGGAATAAACTTGGAAACAGTGCAGCTTCCCCCAAAGAATGTTGGAGTTTCTGGTTCTCAAGAGACGCCTTCATGGAATAAACTTGGAAACAGTGCAGCTTCCCCCAAGAATCAGATTCCTCGAGTCGTCTCAAAATCCATTGGAGTGAAGACGCCAACCGCCGCTGGTCACTGAGGACATCCTGATCCAGCACCTTGGCTGCACTTTGAGCCACGGGGAGTTCGCCCATTTTGTTCACCCACTCGAGAAGCGAAGCCGAAAAGCCATTCGTGGAAAAGCCTCCAGGCAGGTCATACGGTAAACAGTTCTTAGATTCCTTTGGTTGTCAAGGCGAGATGGTCACAGCACACAACATCTTGCAAGTAAGGGTGCTTAATCTAAGATTGTTCGAATTCCCGGGCGCCGAAGCACAATCCGCAATCAATCGTCTCAATCCTTGTTCTGGTTGGTCGTTAATCTTCTCAATTCGTAATCCACGCTGCAAATTGTGGGCCCAAACTTTGTGATGCAGCATCGAACATCCACGCAAACCATAATCTGCAATCCGTAAGCCGCATGATCTAGTCAGTGAACCGCATAATCCGAAATCCAGGTTTTGAACAAGTTACTTAAAGGGCCGGGTCGAAGGATGTTCCCCACACAAGTGAAGGATCCTCTCCAGAACTGGACCAATGTATCCCATGGTCAGGGGTCCCTCAAAGAGGGGACCCTCCCAAAAATAGGAAGCCTAATAGCCCCTAATAGGCCTTATTAGTCGCGGCCACAATCACAACCAAAAAATATTGGTAGAGGAAAAGCATCGCTCGAGTGCAGTTTTCTCGCTGGCAGCCTATTCAAGGTTTGCTGCTAGCCTATTAGAGGTAATAGTGAAGAGGATTAACAAATCCTGGGCTAATTAATGGGGGGGTTGCCAGAGGGAGATCCAGAAAAAAACGCTGATTCTGAGAATGTATTTGTTTTTGTTGGGAGATTGGGGTGGCGAGGGTGGTATCAATCAGATTCCAAATCTTGATCTGCAGGGAAACGGAAGAATCTCCTGTTGACGAGTGCGTATGTTTCGTGCTTACGCGTCCATTTATCCAATAATCATGGGCGCCAACGCCATCGGATTGGTGACTTTCCATTTCCCACCGTTGTGGGAAATGGCTTTTGCTTGCCACTTTCTGTGATACCAAGGCAATCCCCTGAATGACAGAGTGGTCGTATGGGTGGCCCACCTTGGTATCACAGACATGCAATTAATTGTCCACAACATGAACGGGTGTTTGACCGTGTTTTCGGGTGCCTTAGAGCTGATTTGGAGCACTTGAACGAGAGTGGACAAAACACGGTTGGAGGAGTCCTCTTGTTTTGTCGGATTCCTGGGCCTGGCTAAGATGGGTTTCTTTGATTCTTGATTTTCCGGGCAGGACCTTCTTGCCGCGGCACGCTCTTGCCTTTGAGTCCGCAGGCATTGAGGCGAGGCTCCGACCTGGCGAAACGATTCACTCCTTTGGGCATCCCCCTTTGGTCCACATCGGCCGTAGCCGGCTTCAGCCTCCCCGGAAGTGAAACATTGTTTTCCAAACCCCAAAGTTTCGAACACTAAGCTAGACTTTGGCCTAAACCAATACTAAGCCAGCCTTGCCCCTAAACGTGGGATGTGCGCAACGCTTCAAAACCTGCCCCTTGCGAAACCATGTGATGCCGCTTTGAAACCTGTCTGGAGAAAGCCGTGGGTCCAAGCACATTGACTCTGCCACTGGCGATGTAATGTAAACATTGTAAACGAAAGACTCAGATTGTTTGCATGGTACACTTTCTTCTTTTTTTTTGTAACACGCTCATGACGAACCATTCTTGAGCTTGCAAGCAAATTCGTAACCTGGCTGTTGCTATGTCACCGGTGTTCAAGGATTGTTCCTGGAAAGCTGATGGCGTTTATATCGCGGAATGTTTTTGTGTCTTCAACCGCCGACAGCGATAGTAGACAGAGGGCTTTCCGGTAAACACAACTTCAGCACCTTTCGTTATCGGCGTCCTCAGCGCTTCTGAATACGCGAGTCACCCAAACTGTATAGCAAACCTTGCACCTACTCACACGCGCGCGTTTGTGTGTGTGTGTGTGTTTGAAATGGGTGCGTGCCTCCTTGTGTGTTACCAAGCAAGCGCCCAGTGCGGGCGCATTCCCACGCTTGGAAACTGCCAAGGGCCAAGGGCGAACTTATTGACATTGAGACATGTCCATACGCGAGCTCTCCAAGACAAACTTTTGCCCCCTGTACAAACATCGGCGTGCATTAAGTAGGGGGTTCCCCACAGGGATTCTTTTTTGTGCGCGCACACACACAATAGGAGACTTGCCAGGGTGTATACCCAAGAATTCGGATACATGCCGAACAAGAGGCTTGTAAGGGGGGAGCCGATACTTACAGGGATGATACTTGAACATGTCCTTCATATGTCAGTTTGCTAAATGTATATACACCAATTGGAATGTTTCTTGGTTTTTGCAGGGAGCCGAGAGTACTCCCTGCATTTGGTATGGGGTCCCAGTGCTTTGGCAATGACAATCCCAGCTGTTGAGTGGATGGCCCTTCTCTCCTTTCCCACTGGTTGCAACTGATCCTGTTGGGGATGTTCATCGTTATTTGCTGTAATTAGTGTGCGGATGGCATCGCTAAGCAGGAAAGGAGGCTGGCGTTTATCACCCGACTTCACTGTCAGTGGGCACACCCACAATTGTTTGCCCCTTTCGTAGTGTGAAGCATTGCTCTTGGGGCCTACTTAAGGCAAGCTTTCTTTTGGGTGATTTTCAAATGTTCAAGAAGTTTTGGGAACGTGACACCTGCCGAATATGGACTAAGCCGCAAAGACCCGTTGGGTGATTTTTCTTTGGTTGCCCTGTCAAGCAACCACAAAAGGGCACAAAGTCAATCAAGAGCACACCAGTTTTCGTGTTTTGCTCTTGATGTTTCCATGTGATGTTTGTTTTTCTTTGAACAAGCAAGACCAGACAGCCAACATACTGCACGTAAATCAAACACAAGCCACGGAAACTTACAGGGTCCTTTCTCACAGCGTTTGACCAGGTCCTTTGGTTTACAGTGGACTACTTTCTGACGCTTGGCTCCGCCGGTGCCTCGCATCTCGGCAAAGCGGGAGTTCCAGCAAAGGGCAGTGTACGAAACGGGAACCTAGTTCCGATGTCTGAAGAAAGAGCAGCTTGGAACAAACACCTCAAAAGGGGAACCTAAGCAAGGATCCCAAAGAAGGCGGGACCTCAAACAGGCCTATCAAAACAATGGTAACCTAGGGAAGCTACTAGCAGGGAGCCTCAAGAACAGGAACCCTACTCGTAGCAATGATTCAGCGATTTTTTGAAGGAAACAATTTAATGACGGTATGTCAGCTTGCCATTTGACATGGGGATGTCTCACACTGGGCAACCTGGTGTGGGGAGGTTTTAAAGTGGGGCCAAAGCCAACCTCACGGGGAGCCAAATGGCAACACCGACATTTCGTGGCTTGGGTGGCTGATTCGTGCAGTAGGTGGATCTTCATTTCAGCTTAGGACAGCGTGGCAATTCAATATCTATGAGTCTTTTTGCAACCCCAAAGCACCAATTATCTCCAAGGCCCTTCGTCTCACGCTTGTGATACTTGCAGAATCCTTTGCCGCTTGGGGTTGTTCCTTAGGCTTGGACCATTTTTTGACACACCTAGGGCTTGCCAGAGTCTAAGCCGATCGCCCTTCGAACAGTTGCAGTCAGTGGAGATCTTCGAATTTTGCGGCAACCCACCATGCATATGGCAAAAGGATTGAGCATGTTGAATGCTAAGAAATCTTCGCCCTAGGGATCTTTTTTGGGACCCCAAAAAGAGCACCTGGAGGTTTTGCTTTGGTGGCTAGTTTCCATATGTAAGCCTTGAATAACGATCATTCAACCCATGAGCTCGATTCCGATAGGGCTCATACATCTCGCCTTTGATTCAGGTTGAAGATTGATCATGATTCTGTTTGACACGCACAACGATGCTTTGATTCTTGTGTGGGGAGGCACTTCCAGACGGGCCCCTTCTGGTTGATATAAAAAGGAGAACTATTTCGAGCCCCTTTAATGATGCCGATTGATGAGCATAATTCTTGCTTCTCTGCGAGCCAGAAAGGAGAGACTTCAGATGCCAGGGGAGTTTTCTAAGCCGCCAGTTTGGGAGATTCGGTCAGATCCCTGCGAGGTTGCCCTTCATCGCCTGCCTGTGGGACTGCGGGAGCTGATCCAAAAAGGGTCCCTTGACCTGCTGGGCTTCGGAACTTGGGTTCCGAAAAGAGGACATGGACAAAAGTGGCTCCAACTTGGGTCTCTCTTGAAACACATCATCCGAAATAGGGTCGGTTCCCAATTTATTTTGCACCCTGATTGCATGTTGGCAATTTTGAAACCTACCGCAGGGCTGTGCCAGCACAATGGGAAATCGGAAAGCCGGTTGCTTTGGGGCCCCTACATGTGGCGCACATGTATCGGAACGGAGGTTCTCCAAACGTCGAACATGGGGTGGACACCAGTAGACGCTTGGATAAGGTCCCTTGAAGCAAAGCTTTGTGGTATGAATTGGCTACTTTTGGTTCTTCGCAGCGAGAGACGAGTATGCCATGCGATCTCTTGAAGCACGTCGGCGCACAAGGGGAAAGGGCTG